GGTTGACGCTCTTGGAAATGGGCAAGTATCTAGACGTGCAGATATATGTGCTTAGCAACTCACCAACCATCCAGAAGAAGGTCAGCCAAGCCATGGAGATGCTCAGCTTGGAGCCAACTCATGCTTGGGAAGTCTTTCGGCAGCCGGACCGACAGGAGTCATAAAGGAACCCATCCAAGAAAATGCACATACTCAACCAAGCAAGCAATGGCCCTCCAGAGAAATGCAATTGGCACTGTTTAACTATTGCTAGCACTTCCTTCCGTGAAAACAGTGGGAGAGGAGATAGAAATCGTGCAGCCCTTGATTTAACGTAGTAAGCCTCCAAGCAATAGCAGAACTAGTTATATGAAAACGAACCAGTAAGACCCAAGAATCGTGGCATATGCACATGAAACAAAGCACAGCTCACAGCTACACAAGGCTTGCAAAGCACTGCAACATGGGATAGTTCATGACTCAATGTCAATAACTAAACTCAACTCTCTGTTGAAACAAGAGACTGGACTAAAATCTGACCCTGCTTGGTCAAGTGTTTCCTGGTGCTGTAGGTGAGGGGGTGTATGAGGATGTGAGAAGCACAGACAGACCTATCAGAGCCAGCCCAGGTAGCCCACAGATGGTTCTGGTGGAGCACAGCTCTTCCCCAGGGAGATGGGCTAAGCCTCAGCAGCCCCACCCAATGGAAAGAATGCACTTAAGGAACGTGTGGTCAGGAGACATCCCCAGGCTGAAATCCTGGGCCCGACTAGGCACAGCCATGTCTCACACCACACAAGGAGCGACAGAAGGAATTCTCTTCCACATTCTTCTGTTCAGTGAAGATCGGGACTGGATAGGCCAGATTCTCTCGAGCTACCAGAGAAGGAGCTTAGGGCTCTGGACAGACAAACACACCCACTCCACTGCATCCCAGGCACCCCCCTCCAGGTGATCTCTACGTCCCACACTCTTCTCACCAACCAGAGGTGACATGAGACCCAACCCTACCTGCCTGAGGCTTGGGAGATAATCCTCATCATTGTGGAAAAGATGTCATTAGAGATACTAACTAAAAATGAGGGATTTCACACACACACACACACCTTCACACACACACACACACACACACACACACACACACACACACACTCCCAGGAGGCCAGATCAGAAAAGAAGGGGGGGGGGGAGTCCTTTCAGAGAGGGGAGCTAGAGAGGACACATGGGCCCCAGATGCCCCCAACTCCAGAACACAGGAGCTAAACACATTGACCTGCTTCACCACCCACCCAGCATGGGGGCACAGAAGAGCTGCGCTGGGTGACGCCCGCATGCCGAGTCCCTGCCTGCAGACACTACGGCCTCCCTCCCTGGAGCGGTGCCTCGAGCTCTGAACTTGGCAGGTCCATGAGGAGCCAAACCCTGAATGGACACAGATGGTCTGACTGGAGAGAAACGGGAAAAGGAAGTTCACTTCCGAGTCTAGCTCAGCTACCCAAGCATCCCTGGTGGCTCTAGGGCAGGGGTGGGCAAACTTTCTGACTCGAGGGCCACAATGGGTTCTTAAACTGGACCGGAGGGCCGGAACAAAAGCATGGATGGAGTGTTTGTGTGAACTAATATAAATTCAAAGTAAACATCATTACATAAAAGGGTATGGTCTTTTTTTTTTTTTAGTTTTATTCATTTCAAAAGGGGCAAATCCGGCCCGCGGGCCATAGTTTGCCCACAGCTGCTCTAGGGCCTGTTATGCAAAGAGAAAAGCCCCCTGAAGAAAAAACTTTCCTGCGGGAGAAATCACCAGAAATGCCCCGGCTCCCTAGACCTGCGCATCCCTCAGAAGCATCCCCAAGCAGAGTGAAGCAACAGTCAGGTAACCAACACCAGGTGCCGGACACAGAGGTGGAGTTCACCAGGCGCACATGGCCTGAGGCAGAGGGTCCAGGAAGGCAAGATCTCCCCTCCCTGCTTGGCTGCCTCTGTTGGCCAAGAGACTGCAGATTTATTTCCATCACAGGCCCGTGCATATGCACACACACTCACGCACACACACCCCTAGTATCTAGGAAGGGAAATTCTACCTCTTGTTATAACCAAGTTACCCCGCTTCCTGACCTTAAAAAATAAAAATAAAAAACCCAGTGGGTTTCCTTTGAAGGTTTCAAACCTGATTAGCCACAGTAAAATGATGCTTTAATGGGGCTGTGATGGTCCCCGCCTCGGGTGTCTGTGTACGCAGCCATATTACTTAGCAACACCATAGCCGTTTAGGTTTAATTTCCTAGCTTGCCTGATAAGGAGGCTGCAAATGTAATTTGTGGTGCCGCAAGCTGGGCAAACACGTGGGGCTATTAGATGAGTCACCGGGTGATGCAGGCCACTGTGCCGAGCTCTGCGGAAGAGGAGAAGCGAGCCCTGATCTGTGGGGCTGATAGGTACCACCCGGGCGCACACAGCTTTCTGAGCGTGTGGGGGCTGTGCGGCCTTCACTCGGCCTGTCTGGTCCGGTGCCATCATTTATTAAGGGAAGCTCCGCTCGCCTCTCAGCCCTTGTTAGGATCATCTTCTGGCTTTCTGAAATCCACAATTCAGACCTGCAAACTCAAGCCCTGCAAGACCAGGTGGTCAGATGATGATAAAACAGCAATAACAATGAACATTTTTTACTCGATTCTAGTTGCTTTACATGAGTTACCTCTGTTAATTTTCCTTTAAAAAAAACAAAACAACCAGGAGGCAGGCGCTACTGTTATTCCGATTTTCAAATGGGGAGACTGGCAGGGGAGGGTAGTAGCACATAAGACAACAGAGAGAAGGGGTGTGACTGCCCACTGAACCAACCAGCCAGATCTCCCACTGTTCTAAAGAACAGGAAATACAGATTTTTTTTTAATTAAATCTTTATTGTTCAGATTATTACATTTGTTCCTCTTTTTTCCCCCCATAACTCCCCTCCTCCCAGTTCCCGCCCCACCCTCCGCCCTCACTCCCCACCCACTGTCCTCATCCATAGGTGCACGATTTTTGTCCAGTCTCTTCCCGCATCTCCCACACCCCTGTCACTGAACAGTGCTTAATTATGCTTAATTTCTAGTTGGTTCCCCAACATAACATCGAGGGTCTCATTAGTTTTCTTGTAGATCTCATTAAGTTTATCGGCGGCTTCTAAACAGTTCTTGAGAGACCTTAAAAGTGTGGTTCTGAACTCTATATCTTCCATTGACAATTTTGTCCTGTTTCTTTGTCTCCGCATTTTGTTATGCTTCCTTGGAATAGTCAGTCCATTCCCTTTCTATGTCCCTGATTCTATTATAATCACCAGTTCATTCTGTTCATCAGATTATTTATTCACTTGATTCTTAGATTCACTTGTTGATAGATGCATATTTGTTGTTCATAATTTGTACCTTTACCTTTTCTTCCTCTTCCTCTTCTTAAAGGATACCTTTCAGCATTTCATATAATCCTGGTTTGGTGGTGATGAACTTCTTTAGCTTTTCCTTATCTGTGAAGCTCTTTATCTGACCTTCAATTCTGAATGATAGCTTTGCTGGATAAAGTAATCTTGGTTGTAGGTTCTTGGTATTCATCACTTTGAATATTTCTTGCCACTCCCTTCTGGCCTGCAAAGTTTCTGTTGAGAAATCAGCTGAAAGTCGTATGGGTATTCCCTTGTAGGTAACTGAGTTTCTTTCTCTTGCTGTTTTTAAGATTCTCTCTTTATCTTTTGCTCTTGGCATTTTAATTATGATGTGTCTTGGTGTGGTCCTCTTTGGATTCCTTTTGTTTGGGGTTCTCCACGCTTCTTGGACCTGTAAGTCCATTTCTTTCACCAGGTGGGGGAAGTTTTCTGTCATTATTTCTTCAAATAGGTTTTCAATATCTTGCTCTCTCTCATCTTCTGTGTCCCTGAGGAACTTATAGTTCAGTAGGGAAGACAGACTATAATTCTGATGTTGGTACGCTTGAAGCTGTCCCAGAGGCTCCTTATACTATGCTCGCATTTTTGGATTCTTTTTTCATTTTGCTTTTCCGGTTGGGTGTTTTTTGCTTCCTCGCATTTCAAATCATTGACTTAATTCTTGCGCTCCTCTGGTCTGCTGTCGGGAGTCTGTATAATATTCGTTATTTCAGTCCGTGTATGCTTAATTTCTAGTTGGTTCCCCAACATAACATCGAGGGTCTCATTAGTTTTCTTGTAGATCTCATTAAGTTTATCGGCGGCTTCTAAACAGTTCTTGAGAGACCTTAAAAGTGTGGTTCTGAACTCTATATCTTCCATTGACAATTTTGTCCTGTTTCTTTGTCTCCGCATTTTGTTATGCTTCCTTGGTGCACCCCCTAGTGGTCTTTGTTCGCAGTCTTATAGTTAAATCTTGATTGTTGTAGCTAATTCCAGGGAGGGTTTGACCTCCAGGCCAAGTGGCTATGAGAATCAGCTGTGTCAGCAGTGAGAGAACTTCTGTCCTCTAGGGAGGTGCTAATCTAGCCTTTGCCTGAGGCTATCCGGCAAATGCCTATGTGCAGGGCTTGGGCGGGGCGGGTCGCACAGGATCAACAGGGTGGGCCGGAGAGAGCAGTTATGGCGGCTCTCAGTCCTGTCCCCAGGGGCTCTGCCTCTCTGAGTCCCAGCACCCGCTGCAAAGCTCAGAGAGAAAGCTGCACTCGCTCTGACCGAAGCCAGACAGTCCCGCTTCTCCTGTTTGAGTCTGGGTCCCTAAAGACTCGCCCGTATCTGGAGCTCAGAGTCTGCGACTCCCTCCCGATTGAAAACGCCAACCGCGCCCTCCACCGCCAGCCCGCTCGCGCACTCCGCACCTCAGAATTTGACTTCAGCACTGCGCCTCCTCTGAGTGTCCGTATGCGTTTCTCTTTCCTCCTAGTTGTAGGACTTCCACTCAGCCAGCGTTCCTGTGGTTCTGGGTGATGTCCCTTCCGTTTTTTGGTTTCACTTTTGAAGTAGTTGTTCAAAGCAGCAAACTCCGGCGTTAACCTATGCCACCATCTTGGTTCTCTCCGGAAATACAGATTTTTATATAAAATACCGTGAGTTTTAAACATCTGCAACTAATTCAGCAATTTAACAAATACTGTAAGAACCAAACCCCAAACATATCTACCAGCCAGATTCGGGCCAAGGCCCACCAACAAGTAGGCATATTTACCAATAAATACACTCCAATTTTTAATCTTTGCTCCCAGGAGCCATTGGTGTCCCAGCCCTTGGGTCATCCCTCAGCTGTATCCTTCCTGGAGCCTCAGTGGTGCTCCATTCTTCCCGCTGCTCAGGCTCACAGTCTTAGAGTCCCCTGGGCACCTTCCCTTCTCTGACACGTCACATGCCATCTGTGAACAGATCCTGTTGGCTCTACTTAAAATCTATCCACAATTCCTCCACTTCTCACACCCTCAGTGTGACCAGCCTGGTCCAAGCCCCCATCATTTCTTACCTTAATATCATGAGCTGCCTGCCACACCCAGCTTCCCTCTTACTCCATTCTCAACCAGACCAGCGGGTTTAAGTCAGATCCTGCCACTTCTCTGCTAAACACCCTCCAATGGCTCCTATCTCACTCAATCAAAGTTGAGCTCCACGTCCCACCTGTCTCTCCTGCACCCCCTGCACTGCAGACACACTTGCTGTTGCTCCAACACACCAAATGAGCTCCAGCCTCGGGCCCTGCGACCCATGTTGCCTTGGTATCTCTCCCCACAGGTGTTCTCTTGGCTCTCGCCCCTCTCTTTGCCCTATTCAATTGCCACCTAGTTAGAAAGATCTTCCTGGACCACTTATCCCAATTAGCAACCTCCCCATCACTCTCCCTCCCCTTGCCCTTACCACTTATCACTACAACATGCCATATATTTGTTTGTGTTTTCTCTCTTTCCACTAGAATGCACCCGCCATAAAAGTAGGGAATTTGTTTTCTTCTAGGCTCTACCCCAGGTGCCTAGAACCATTCCTGATACATAGCAGAAATTCATTAAATATTTGTTGAATGAATGAAGAAGTAAATGGTCCACACAATGGGCCCTTATGATAGCTCCAGCCTTGGCCTCATCTTCACTCTGTGTGCACTTGGAGGACAGCAGGCCTCCCCACTAGCTACTATCACTTCCACCATAAGCATAGTAAGATGCCAGATTGATTACCTGCTGAAAACGACCAGGAGATAGTCCCTGCTCTCGCCCACCTACTGTGTGGAATAGGAACTTGTGATCTGTGCGCATCTTGTCCTGGAGAGAAGGAGCAACAGCTTAGTCATGACGGAGGTGAATTTTATAATTATAATTTATAGTCTTGATGAGACATGGCAGGTTTTGTGTGAGAGTAGAACATTTTAATCCTAAATTACAAGACTGGATAAAAGTGCTTTATTCGTTTACCTACAGAATTTGTTGGCCTTATTTTTATTTCTGTATTTATTTGAAAGCTCATCTATCCCAGGAAGGTAGCCATCTATGACGTAATCCTGAATATTCTTTCACATAGACAGGGTCAGAGAATATAGGCTGAATTATTCCAACTCCACCCCAATCCTCCAGAAAGTCTGCACAGAGCTGCAGTGATTCGTCGCAAGTTCCCTCCATGGACCTCCGTGAATCCTGCATGCCGTCAGCCAGCCCTCCACACAACCCAGATACACCTCCTTCTGGGGCAGGGCCCTGATTTGCCACAGGTGATGTCCTGAATGTTTTTCCTTCCTTGGCCACTAAACACCCAGCTCAATAAGAAGGTAAGCCAGGATGCCAGGATGACCCTCCCCAAAGCTGAAGCTTACTTCGGAAGGAAGATCAGCCAAGAAGCCAACCAGACATATACCTACGTAGAAGGAAAAAGCATCACCCAGCAGTTTGGACTCTGAAGCTGATAGAAAAGAATCGAGGAGCATGTACAGCAGTTTAGCCCAGGTCTAAGTCATGGGGGGGAGACGCACGGACCCATGCATTTGCTGAGGAACCCAGCACATGGCATCTCCATTTGATTACCTTCTCTGTATCCCAGTCTCTCAACACCTTTTCATCATTGCCTCAGTACTCTCACGCCCATGCTTTCCTCAAATGTTTGTTGAAAAGGTCCCACTTTAGGCATAGGTCCCACCCATCATCACTACCCCCTCATCCCCAGCTACCTCTCAGAGGATGTGACAGGATATTATCCTGGCGTGCCCACAGCCTCACCTCCTCTGCCAGTTGGCCAAAACCAAGCCTGCATTTGCCAGGTGACCACACCTGCATCTGCTAAGAATGGTATTTACTTTTTTAATGATTGAAAAAAATATTTCATGATACATAAAAATGATATGAGATTCAAACTTCAATGTCCATAGTTACACTGCATTGGATCACAGCAACACTCATTCATTTACATATTGTCTATGGCGACATTCACACTACAATGGCAGAGGTGAGTACAGTTGACCCTTGAACACATGGGTTTGGGATCCATTTATATGTGGATTTTTAAAAAATAAATATGGTTGGCTTTTTGTATCCCATTCATGGATTTAACCAATTATGGATTGAAAAACTGTGTTTTCACTCTGCGGTTGGGAATCCACAGATGCAGAGGGCTGGCTAGGTGCATGGTTCTAGGCCATTTTACATAAGGGACTTGAGCATCTTTGGATTTTGGTATTCAAGGGTTCCTGGAACCAATCCCCCATAGATACCAAGGGACAACTCCAGTTAAGTTTTAGAAGAATTAAAAGTTAAACACAAATTTTCAACTTCTCAGGGTTGGCATCCCTAACCTTGGGCTTGTTCAAGAGTCAATTGTAGTTGCAACAGCAACTGTGTGACCAGCCAAGCCTAAAATATTTACCATCAGCTCTTTATAGGAAACGCTTGCTAACCATCATCTAGAACTCTAGAAGGCCTCTGGCCCAGCCAGCGTGGCTCGGTGGTTGAGCATCAACCTATGAACCAGGAGGTCATGGTGCAATTCCCCGTCAGGGCACATGCCCAGGTTGCAGACTCAATCCCAGTATGGGGCATGCAGGAGGCAGCCAATCAATGGTTCTCTCTCATCATTGATGTTTCTATTTCTCTTTCCCTCTCCTTCCTCTCCAAAATCAATAAAAATATATTTTAGAAGACCTCTTGAATCACAAATAAATAAAATGCAAAATTTCAGGCCAAATAAGGTTAGGTCAGAGCAACGATTCTTTAATTTCATCCAAGAATTCTCATACTTCACCTTTATACTTTTGTTTCCCCCAAACATTACTTTAGTTGTAACATTCAAGGATATTTCAAATAATCATTACAGATACTATGCTTACCTTTATTTTCTTGGCCCCATATATGTAGGTAAAAATATAGGTATATTTTTAACTTTTAACAAAGTATGTACAGGCACATAATTTTTCAAAAGTCAAATAGAGAACAGAAAGCTTTTAATTTAAGCAAGAGTCCTCCTCCACCTCCCCACTTAAGGAGACAACTCCTTAAAAGTCATTTACCTATTTCTCCTTGCAGTTACTTAACTAAAAATTGTGCTTAATTGCTCTTCTTGATTGATCAATTTAGCTGTTATCCAAATTGTCATGACAGGTGAGAACTGAACTCATACTCCTGCCTCCCAAAATAGAGGTTACCTCACAATTTTTAGTTAACTCAATAATCAGTGCTGACATAATGACTATGTAAATATTTGTCAGAGACGGCCCTGGCTGGTTTGGCTCAGTGAATAGAGCATCAGCCTGTGTACTGAAAGGTCCCAGGCTCAATTCCGGTCCTGGGTTTGATTCTGGTCAAGGACATGTACCTCAATTGCAGACTAGATCCCAGGCCCTGGTCAGAACACGTATGGGAGGCAACCAATCAATGTGTCTTTTTTACTTTGATGTTTCTCTGTGTCTCTCCCCCTCCCTTCCACTCTCTCTAAGAATCAATGGAAACATATCTGGAGTGAGGATTAACAACAACAACAACAAAAACTGTCAGAGACAAATAGTGTTCCATGGTTTTATTTCAAACTTATACTTCATTTGGTTTTGTTTCATGTGCTTACAAGCTAAGAAGAGGGACTCTGTGTCACAATACTTACCAGAAGGTCTAGGTCTTCAATAACGATCTTCTCCAAACTCAGTACACTGCAGTCTATCAGAGCAATTACACATCTATAAAACAAATTATGGAAATGCTTTAAAAATAAACAGTCTGTTCAGAATTACAGGAACTCAGTCCTGAACCTCCCTTCTGAGTCATAATATTTTATGTGGTTTTTATGAGGTAGAGTTTGGGCTTTTGGTTTTCAATTCTAAGGGAAAAGAGTAAGAGGAAAGGGGTGTGGACAACAGTTCTGCATCCCTCACTTCATCTGCTTACAGACTTTACCAAATAACAAATTCCCCCAGTCCTCCCTACTCCAATCTAACGTTTAAGAGAATCAACCCAGCCCACAGGCTCCTCTTAGAATGAGATGCTAGCTAAGCCCTTGAGGCGTTCTCAACGGGAACTGACCAAGTGCCCTGCCCAACCTCAGAACTCTGTTCAGTGTGAGCCCAAGAGATAAACGTGGACAGTGGCTCAGAACCCGATTCCTCTGGGTGGAAGAGTCTAAAAATCACAACCCAAATCATATGTGGTCAATGCACATACTTTGGGTTTAGAGCTGACTTATAAACAAGAGCTTTCTTATTTCAGACAATGCTGTAATGAATAACCTTCTACACAAATGTCCCTTTCACACGTGTGCAAATACATGTAGAGGATAAATGCTCAAAAGTAGAATTTGGGGGGCAAAGGAAATATGCATTTATCATTGTTTTAAATGGCAAATATATATAGCGTCTTTCCGAATCTGATCTTTGTTTATACTCCACAAATGACTTTTAGATCTAAAATGTGCATGACTACATGGCTAAATTAAATTGCATTTTCTATGCATTGTACGTAGTAATTTTTCCAGGCTAACTGGGGAATCATTTATCATATATTGCATTTCTGGCCCAATAACCTCCTCATGCTATATTTGAGCACAGCCCCTTCTAATTCTACCTGTCATCCATCACTTTAGCCCCCGCACTATTGTTTACATCACCTCTATTCCAAGTTCACCCCTATATTGTTGTTTATAATCAATTCCAAGTTCAGCAATGCTCTGACTTTAGCAGAATGATAGCTTGTAGGGAAAAGTAGACCCCCACCGATTCACTGGAAACCAGTAAGAATTCCAACCCCTAAAAGGGGCCAGCATGCTACAGGGACTGGGATGACCCTGACTGGTAACAAGCTAATTTCTCAGAGAGACTGAGAGAGTCCCTCCTCCCACTGATTACCTCCAATGAAGAAAATATATTTTCACTAAACTGGGGTTAGAAAAAAGGTAAATATCCTTTGATTTAGAACAAAGTTATTTTAGAAAAAAGTTTAGCAAAAGCCTTCCAGTCCGCCCTTAGCCAGAAATCCCCATTAAGCAAAAATACTATTGCCTCAACCCCATGAGCAGTGTTTCTATGAAGTTAGCACCAGCTTTGTTAAAGACAGAAGTCTCTGTGCTTACTGCATTTGGTAGCTTCGGTGATGTGATTTTTGCTGAAAATAATGTTTTGCGGTATTGTACAACCAGAGAAATGAAAGAAACGCCTGTCCCGTATTCTCTAGGAGAGTATTTTCAATACTCTTTGAGAACCAACTTGATAATAAATGTGTTAAAAGACTAACATAGGGATAGGACAGTGAAGATATTGTTCACCTAGTAATACTCACATTTTTAGAATGACACTTAATTCTGGTAATACCTGGCCAGGAAGTAAGTCGAAATATCAAGAGTCTTTTTAAAATGTGAAGAGCGGGGTGTGTGAATATAAGGCAATACAATGGATCCTTGTGATGTTGAAACTGTTCAGTATTTTGACTGCGGTGGTGGATATACCAACCCACACAGGTAATAAAATTGCATAAAACAATACACACACGCAACACACATGTACAAGTAAGACTGGGGAAATCTGAATAAGGTTAGTGAATTATATCAATGTCAATACCCTGGTTGTGATACCATATGATAGGTTTGCTAAATGTAGCATTGGGGGAAACCCAGCAAAGTACACAAGGGATCTGTGCGTAGTGTTTCACATGTAAAACTGTAATTGTCTCAATAAAATTTTATATCTTTTTAAAAACGGGGACATGCCAAGATAAATGAGGTGCAAAGGTACTCCTAGGTAAAGAAGGAATTAATTTGTGTGCTATAAGATTTTTAGCTATAAGACAGTTACATATAAGAGGATGTCTATACATTGTAGGGGTTGAGGAGGGGTGAATACTCCATTGTTGTTCCTTCGTGGAGGGGAAGAAAGAAAGACAGGGTACCTTTTTTGTTCCAGTAAATCCATACCTAGAATCCTATCCTTGGGAAACAGATGTTTACTGTAGCATTATTTATAATAATAAAAAATTGTAAACAACCCAAAAGTCCATCATTATGAAAATGATCAATACAGTGTGACATTTCTACCATGAACTGTAATGTAATCATTCTACGAGATCCATCCATATAACATACCAAGATAAGAGAAAGGCTATGTGTCCTCTACAGTATCCAGTGTTATAGATTGCTACAGGAGGAGAAAGAGTGGCAAAGACTGCAGAGTATATATCAAAGTGCTAGTAATGAACTCAAAAAGAAAATTGAGACAATCTGAGAAAAGGTCAGTGAGAATGGGTATGATATTAAGGAATCACTGTAGATTTTTGTTGGATATAATAATGTGTGTGAGTGTGTGAGTGTGTGTGTGTGTGTGTGTGTGTGTGTGTGTGTGTGTGTGTAAGTCTTTCCTTACCCTTTTATCCATTAGTATTACACACTCAAGTAAATACATACAAAATGATATAATGTCTGGATGGACTTGCTTTCCATACGACTACAGATTTGCTTTAAATACACTCTGTAGCATTTCTTTTATTTTACTTCCTTTAAAATTTTTAAATTGATTTTCTAGAGAGAGGAAGGGGGAAGGGAGGGAGGGAGGGGGAGAGAGAGAGAGAGAGAGAGAGAGAGAGAGAGAGAGAGAGAGGGAGAAACATCGATTTGTTTTCCACTTATTTATGCATTCATTGGTTAATTCCTGTATGTGCCTCACCAGGGAGCAAACCTGCAACCTTGGCATATGAGGACAATGCATTAACCAACTGAGCTCCTGGGCCACATTTAACATAGGCACAATTTAAAAAGTAAAATTTAAAGGTTAACCGTAGTTATCTCTGAGCTAGGTAATTCTGGCTAACTAGTCCTTTTCTTTAAGGCTTACTGTATTTTCTGTTTTCTATAAAGAACAACTATAAAAAAACGGGGAAAGTAGGATACATTTAGAAAAATCAGACCAGAGAGCTAAGTCATTTATACACAGGTAATTGCAGCCCTGATTGTATTAATCTGGAGACAGTCCTTCTTAAGAGGCAATTTACCTTTAGACTTATCAACTGAGTGGTTGCAGACACCCTTACCAGTGGAAGTGGAACCGATTGCTCACAGAGTGATTCATGCAGCTGTTCTCCCAAACCACCTGGGCTGGGGCCCAGAGGCTTCCTGCTGGGTTCTCAGGTCTGAATGGCTACATCTCAGGCTCGTGTTTCTCAACCAGATAATAACACTAAATAACCAAGGGCAGTCACAAACACTGAGCAGGTTTTCATAGGTTGTAGACACATGCCTTGTCTAAAAGTTTCCCAGGTGATTCTGATGGGCACACTGGGTCCGGAATTTCTGATTCAAACAAGCAAACAGATATAATTATACATAACGTATAAATAATTTTCTGTGTATACGAATTGTCTTGTATATGTCTTAAGTATGGTTGGAAGTATGTGCAAGAAAGTAGTAAAAAACAGTGACTGTGGGGAAGGGGACTGGGTGGCTGGGGACAGAGGGAAACTTTTCACTGTATATGCTTTTACATTGTATGCAAATGAATGTACTGCCTTTTCAAAAAAGGTGACCGTGACCGTGAAAGAAGACCAAATTTTCGAAGAGCCTCTGCTTTAGACACTCAGCTAGCCGGAAGCGCTTCTTTTGCGGAAAGGTCAAAGTTCTGTGAAGTGGATACGTTTTGGGGCAGAAGTTTTGCTAAAATATTTCCCGAGAAAGTATCTAACGTTGACTTGAAAAGAACACTAGATATAATAATCCTAATGGCTCTTACACTCAGATAGTTACAGGAACCACTCACCACGTTAGAGCTGCACAGTCTGCCGTTCAGAAGTACAAGCAGTCAGCCAGGGTGTGGGAGAGAAGGGTTTTCCTTTTGCAATTACCTTAAAGCATTTCATAAAATATCCCTGATGCCCAGCTGTTGCCTGGCTCACTCGAGTTGGGTTACAGAGGTCAACTGGTAAAGATTAGCAGCTGCAGTGGTGAGCTAGAGCTAATCTAATGGCCTGGGCCCATTGGTTAACAGAAAGACCAACAGATGGAGAGTCAAGACAGGAACCTCAGCTCTTTATCCCAGTGGCCATGATGCAAATCATTTAAACCTCCCTGAGCCCCAACTTGCTCACCAATAAAATGGAAATGTTCTTTACTTAAGAGAGCTGCTGAGAAAATAATACTTGTGGAAAGTACTATTAAAAGGTTAATATACCCAGCCACCCAGTCCCCTTCCCCAAAGTCACTGTTTTTTACTACCTTCTTACATATACTAGTACTTCCAAAAATACTTAAGACATATACAAGAAAATTCATACACACAGAAAAATATTTATATGTTATGTATAATTATATCTGTTTGCTTGTTTGAGTCAAAGTTTAATAAAAAGAAAAGTAGTACCTTATAACAACTTTTCAGACTTAACTTTCAGTACACACACACACACACACACACACACACACACACACACACCATTAAATCTGGAAGATTTCTGCCCTAGCCAGTTTGGCTCAGTGGATAGAGCATCGGCCTGAGGATTGAAGGGCCCCAGGTTTGATTCCCATCAAGGGCATGTACCTCGGTTGCAGGCTCAATCCCCACAACCAATCAATGTATCTTTCTCTTTCTGTCTCTCCCTCTCCTTTCCACTCTCTCTAAAAAAAATCAATGGAAGCATATGCTCAAGTGAGGATTATCCAAAAAAAAAAAAAAAAAAGATTTCTCTTCCACCCCCTAAAACACTAAAATTAAGGAAACATAAATGTTCCATTTTCAGGACTCAAGGTGTCACCTTGATTTTAATTTTCTTTACAGTGTTCCAGTTAAAAAGGCCATGAGAACTCATTGTTGACCTATCTATACTTCAAGTGCACATGACACTCTTTATTTTATAATTATTTTAAAATTTATATGGAAATTCTGTTAGCAAAGCATTCAAGCATTGATATAAGTAGCCACTTTCCTCCCACCCTTCCATTATGAGGTGATGTTGACAACTGCTGGGTAAGAGAAGGTCAGACAAGATTTGATAGAGGCTTCAAATTCACACGTTCCTTGCTCACAGGCAAACCACCTTTCAGAAACAGCCACTAATGAGAAGTGAGAAATTTTGCTCTGGGATTAGCTGTCCTTGGTTAAAAGTACCTTTCAAATGACCAATCTGAATGAATTCTGTGGTCCCTGCTTGCCATTTTAAACTGATTTTTATGTACTAACTTTTCTGCTTCTTATTCTGTTTATCCTTTGGTTTTAGACATGAAATGGCTCTGCCAGGAGAAAAATCTCTATAACGAAATTTGCCAGTCAAGGTAGAACATGATGCGAAAATTAGCATCATCACACACATAATGGGAAACCTCACAGAAAGACAAATTATAAAGAAAAATGTCTGATTTGTCTATTTGTTCAGCACATTTTCAAACAGGAAAAGATCCAGAAAAAGGAGGGAGGAGAAGAAACTTGTCCTAAGATTAGGAGAAAATCAACAAGGCATCAATGGGACAGCCTTGGAGGGTGTTTTCACACATGCCCGGGTATTTCATCACAGGTCTCCCTCACCACAGCTTTCTCAACACTGACCAACAGTCAAACCATGTCTGTCTGGGCAGCACAGCCAGTTCCATAAGTTAAAGGATCTGCTCAAACCAAACAGGAGAATGCAGAAATAAGTGGAAACGCGGATGAAGGTGTTAGGGCTGTGCGATGCATGTGCTAGGAGTTCTCCCAGCAGAACTTGTAAGCGAGTCACAACTACACCATTAGGCAGAGGGTAGAAGAAGCAGCTTCAATACAGTACCTGGTGTGTCACTTCCCTCCCCACCTGGTATTCTTACTGAGAGGGCCACAGAAATGGAAGAAGTCAGCTACCCAGGCACTTCTACCATTCCACCTAAACCTTGGAATTCCCTAGGGACAGGCTCTCAAGGTGATGCCATGTCTTTGTGATTCACTATTTCCAGTCTTATAATAACCCCTCCACCTTAACTGAAATCATGGCGGCCAAGGAAGTCATGTGACAGATGCTTTAAAACTAAAGACTGTCCAGAAAGGACAGGCCTCCCCCACCCCTACCCACGCATTGCAAAAAAAAAAAAAAAAAAAAAAAAATGTGTTTGGGGAGGGTGAGCATGAGGACTCTGAGTCACAAAACAAAGAAAGGCTGTGTTCAAGGTAAAGGCTGAGCAGAACCAGGCCAACCCTGGCTGCCTCAGGAGCAGGAGTTTAAGGACATGGGCAAGTGTTGCAACAGAAAGTAATACTTTTTTCCTTTGCTACCCAAAGTTCCACTTCTTTCAGACAGCCACAGACATTCAGGCAGTTGATGTTTCTTAGGGTAAACATAGGACTTCTCCAAAAACAAATGCCCAAATAATTGCAAGGAAAAGGCGGGAAAGGGAGAATGAGAGGTGACTCAATAGCTTTTAAAGGACTTAAAAAACATATCAACCAACGAACTATCCAAGGAAGAAATTAAGAAAACAGTTCCAGCCCCAGTCGGTTTGGCTCAGTGGATAGAGCCTCAGCCTGAGGAATGAAGGGTCCCAGGTTTGATTCTGGTCAAGGGCGCATGCCTGATTTCGAGCTCAATCCCCAGTAGGGGACATGCAGGAGGTAGCCTATTAATGATTCTCTCTCATCATTGATGTTTCTATCTCCCTCTCCCTTTCTATCTGAAATCAATAAAATATATTTTTTTAAAAAGAAAACAGTTCCATTTGCAATAGTGTTCAAAAGAATAAAATAGGTGATGAATAGGTGGAGCAGAGAGGACTTTTAGGGCAGGGAAACTACTTTAGGTGACATTATAATGGTGAATGCTTGTCATTATACCTTTGCCCAAACCCATAGAATGAACACCATCAAGAGTGAACCCTGATATAAACTATGGACTTTGGGTGATAATGATGTGTCAAGGTGAGTTAATCAACTGTAACACATGTTCCATTCTGGTGAGGGGCGTTGATAACAAGGGAAGCTACTCATAAATGGGAATAGGAGGTATATGGGAAATCTCTGTAACTTCTCCTCAATTTTGCTGTGCACCCAAAACTCCTTTAAAATAGTCTATTTTTTAAAAGAGTAAAATACTTAAGAATAAACTTAACCAGGGGGGTGAAAGACTTGTACTCTGAAAACTACAAAACATTGATAAAAGAAATTAAAGACACAAATAAATGCAAAGATAGCCTACACTCATGAATTGAAAGACTAATTACTCTTAAAATGTCTGTACTACACAAAACAATCTACACATTCAATGCTATCTCTATCAAAAGCTCAATGGTATCGTTTGCAGAAACAGAAAAAAATTCTAAAATTCATGTATAATTTCAAAGGACCTTGAATGACCCAAACAATCTTGAGAAAGAAAAATAAGCTGGAGGCCTCACACTTTCTGATTTCAAAATGTATTATAAAACCACAATAACCAAAATAGTATAGTACTGGCATAAAGACAGGTATATTGACCAATGGAACAAAAGAGAGAGCCCAGAAACACATCCTCACCTATATGACACAATGATCATTGACAAAGGTGCCAAGGTGACACAACGGGCAAAGGATAGTCTCTTCAACAAATGGTGCTGGAGAAACTCGATAAGGATGAAAAGAAAATGAAGCTAGCTAGACCCTTACCATATACCAGTGGTTCTCAACCTTCCTAATGCCGCAACCCTTTAATACAGTTCCTCATGTTGTGGTGACCCCCAACCATAAAATTGTTATCATTGTTACTTCATAACTGTAATTTTGCTACTGTTATGAATTGTAATGTAAATATCTGATATGCAGGATGTATTTTCATTGTTACAAATTGAACATAATTAAAGCATAGTGACTAATCACAAAAACAATATGTAATTATATATGTGCTTTCCGATGGTCTTAGGCAACCCCTGTGAAAGGGTCGTTCGACCCCCAAAGGGGTCGCGACCCACAGGTTGAGAACCACTGCCTTATACCATATACAAAAATTAACATGAATTAAAGGCCTAAATGCAAAAACTGAAACTATAAAACTCCTAAAAGAAAATATAGGCGAAAGTTTTGTGATATTGGAATGGACAATGATTTCCTGGATATGACAGCAAAAATACAGGCAACAAAAGCAAATATAGACGAAGGGGATTACATTAAACTTAAACACTTCTATGCAGTAAAGGACTCAACAGCGTGAAAGGCAACATAAAAATTAGAAGAAATAGTTGTAAACCCTTTATCTGACAGGGGTTAATATATGGAGAACTCCTACAACTCAACAGCAAAAAATATATATACAAATAGCCTAATGAGCAAAGGACTTGAATAGACATTTCTCCAAAGAAAAATACAGTGTCCCCCAAAAATGTATACACACTTTAACAGCCAATAGCTCAATTTTGAAAATGAAATGTACGCCCTAACCGGTTTGGCTCAGCGGATGGAGCATCAGCCTGTGGACTCAAGGGTCCCAGGTTCGATTCCGGTCAAGGGCATGTACCTTGGTTGCGGGCACATACCCAGTAGGGAGTGTGCAGGAGGCAGCTGATCGATGTTTCTCTTTCATCGATGTTTCTAACTCTCTATCCCTCTCCCTTCCTCTCTGTAAAAAAAATCAATAAAATATGTTTTTTTAAAAAAAAGAAATGTACTTTAATAAACACTGCCTTTATAATTATTTTAAGTATGTGTATACATTTTGAGGGAAACCCTACATTAAATGTCCAACATTCATATGAAAAGATGCTCAACATCATTAATCATCAGGGAAATGCAAATCAACACTATAATGAGATATTACTTCATACCCATCAGAATGGCCACTATCAAAAAAACTGAAAAATAAGTTTTGGCAAAACTATAGAGAAATTGTTGTGCACTGTTTGTGGGAATGTAAATGGTACAGTAGCCATGGAAAACAATATAGAGATTCCTCAAAAAATGTTTTAAGGAATTACCATGAAGCCCTGGCTGGTGCAGCTCTGTTGGTTGGGTGTCATCCCATGCACCTAAGGGTTGCTGGTTGAATTCCCAGTCAGGGCACATGTCTGGGTTGTGGGCTGGATCCCCAGTAGAGGGTGTGCAGGAGGCAGCCAATTGATGTTTCTCTTTCTCTCTCCCTCTACCCTCCGCTCTAAAAAAAAAAAAAAAAAAAAAAAAAAAAAAAAAAAAATCAATTAAAAATATTTTTTAAAAAAGGATTACCATATAATTCAGTAATTTCACCTTTGCATATATATATCCAAAAGAATTGAAAACAGGATGTTGCGAAGATAATTTGCACATCCATGTTCATTATTCACAATAGCCAAGAGGTGGAAGCACTCTAAATGTCCATCAGGGGATGAATGCATAAAGAAAATGTAGTTTAGCCCTAGCCGGTTTGCCTCAGTGGATAGAGCATTGACCTGCAGACCGAAGGGTCCTGGGTTCAATTCCTGTCAAGGGCACGTACCTTGGTTACAGGCTCCTCCCCATCCCGGACCCTGGTCAGGGCGTGTGCAGGATGCAACAAATTGGTGTGTTTCTGTCTTTCCCTCTCTCTTCCACTCTCTCTGAAAATCAATGGAAAAAATATCCTCTGGTGAGGATTAAAAAAAATAATAATAATAAAAGAAAATGTAGTTTATATAAACACTAATATATTATTCAACCTTTAAAAAGAAGGAAATCCGCCCTAGCCAGTTTGTGGATAGAGCATCGGACTGCGAACTGAAAGGTCCCAGGTTCAATTCTGGTCAAGGGCACATGCCCGGGTTGTGGGCTCGATCCCCAGTGGGGGGCTTGCAGGAGGCAGCCGACCAATGATTCTCTCTCATCACTATCTATCTTTCCCTCTTCCTTCCTCTCTGAAATCAATAAAAATACATTAGAAAATAAAAAAGGTGGAAAGCCAAAAAGGGGAATGGGGAGGAGGAATGTCCGGGCTTCGGGTGTCACCTCTTTGGGGTTTGTTGCCCAAAAGACAAGAAAGTCGTTTTTATTTCAAGAAATCTGCAGAAAACAAAGCTTCACCACCCTAAAGCTCAGCTGATGGCCCGACATGGGATCCCAAAAACCTCGGAGCCTGCCTTGGCTGGAGTCTCAGCTGAACCAGGGGCAGCTGGAGGGCGTGGCTTGGCTGGACCAGAGCCACAGGCGCTTCTGCATCCCCTGGAAGCATGGTTTGAGGCAGGATGCCCAGCAGGAGGACTTTGGCATCTTCGAGGCCTGGGCAGAGGCCAGCGGTGCCTACACTCCTGGGAAAGATAAGGCTGACCTGCCAACCTGGAGAGGAATTTCAGGTCTGCCCTGAACAGGAAGGAAGTGTTGCGTTTAGCTGAGGACCAGAGCAAGCACCCCCACGACCCACACAAGAACTATGAGTTTGTGAACTCAGTTGGGGACTTCCCTGAGCTGGAGACTTCTCCAGACACCGATGGCAGATTCAATACCTCTGACACCCAGGAAGACATTCTGGAGGAGTTACTGAAAGACATGGCCTTGGGCTCAATTCCAGATGAGGGGGCCTCGAGCCTCAGCTCTTGCTGAGCCCCAACTTAGACATTCCTGCTCCCTACTCAAACTCAGAGCCCCCTGAAAACCCACTGAAGCAGCTATTGATGCCCCAGGACGGATGGGAGTTCGAGGTGACTGCCTTCTACCGGGGCGCCAAGTCTCCCAGCAGACTGTCTTCTGCCCCAAGGGCCTGCGGCTGGTGGGGTCAGAAGAAGGGGACAGGACACTCCCTGGGCAGCCGATAACACTACCAGACCCTGGAGCGTTCCTGGCACACAGGGCCGTGAAGGGCTATGTGAGTCATGTGCTGAGCTGCCTGGGCGGGGGACTCGCTCTGTGGGGAGCAGGGCAGTGGCTCTGCGCCCAGAGGCTGGGCCCCTGCCGCACATACTGGGCTGTGGGTGAGGAGCTGCCGAGGGCCTGATGGTGAGGTCCCCAAAGAGATGGAAGGAAGCATGTTCAACCTGGGGCCATTTGTGACAGATCTGATTGCCTTCATCAAAGGAAGCAGAAGCTCACCACGCTACACCTTCTGTTCTGCATGGGAGAGCCACGGCCCCAGCACCAGCTGTGGACCAAGAAGCTAGTGATCGTCAAGGTTGTTCCCACGTGCCTCAGGACTTGGCTAGAATTGGTGCAGGTAGGGAGTGCCTCCTTGTTGGAGAACACTGTGGACTTGCACATTTCCAACAGCTAGCCTCTCTCTCTCACGTCAGAGCAGTACAAGGCCTATCTGCAGGACCTGGTCAAGAACATGGATTTCTAGGTCACTGGCCAGGTCTGAACCCACCACTCATGGGTGCAGGTCTCTTGCCTCCACCAATAAACTACTTCTTGCCACTGTCAAAAAATAAAGCCCTAACCGGTTTGGCTTGGTGGATAAAGTGTTGGCCTACGGACCAAAGGGTCCCAGGTTTGATTCCAGTCAAGGGCATGTACCTTGGTTGCGGGCACATACCCAGTAGGAGGTGTGCAGGAGGCTGATTAATGTTTCTCTCTCATCGATGTTTCTAACTCTCTATCCCTCTCCCTTCCTCTCTATAAAAAATCAATAAAATATATTTTAAAAAAATAAAAATAAAATAAAACATTAAATAAATAAATAAATAAATAAATAAATAAATAAATAAGAAGGAAATCTTGTTATATGCTAAACATGGATGAATCTTAAGGACATCATGCCAGTGACAAAAAGATAAATATCCATGATTTTATATATATGAGATACGTAAAGTAGTCAAACTCAGAAACAAAGTACTAGTGGTTACCAGGGGCTGGAAGGAAGTAACAAAGGGGAGTTGTTCAATGGGTAGAGTTTCAGTTTTGTAAGTTTTAAAAATGTGTTGCACAGCAATGTGCATATAATTACTACTGTACTATACACTTAAAATGGTTAAGATGGTAAACTTTATGTTATGTGCTTTTCACCACACACACACACACACACACACAAACAAAAAAAGCCCTAGATGGTTTGGCTCAGTGGATTAAGTGTTGGTCCATGGACTGAAGAGTCACAGGTTTGATTCTGGTCAAGGGCACGTACCTTAATTGCAGGCTCATCCCCGACCCTGGTCAGAGCACATGCAGAAGGCAACCAATCAATGTGTCTCTCTCACATCAATGTTTCTCTCTGTCTCTCTCCCTCCCTTCCACTCTCTCTAATAATCAATGGAAAAATATCTTCGGGTAAAGATTAACAACAACAAAATAAACCAGATCAACCAATTGCAATGTATGAAATTCACTTATACCTTGATTTAAATAAACTGTAAAAAATAAAACTTATGGCTGAGACCAGTTTGGCTCAGTGGATAGAGCGTCGGCCTGTGGACTGAAAGGTCCCAGGTTCGATTCCGGTCAGGGGCATGTACCTGGGTTGCGGGCACATCCCCAGTGGGGAGTGTGCGGGAGGCAGCTGATCGATGTTTCTCTCTCATCAATGTTTCTAACTCTCTATCTCTGTCCCTTTCTCTCTGTAAAAAATCAATAAAAATATATTTTAAAAAAATAATAAAAAAAATAAAACTTATGAAACAATAGGGAAAAATTGAATGCTGACCAGATGTTTAATATAGAAGCATTGATTTTGTGTATAATGAATGGTTTGTGGGGTTTTTACATGATTTCTTTTTGTTTAGATAATCTGAAATATTTATGGATGAAATGCCTGGCTTATTGGGGTGATCACTCAGAAGGAATATGAACATCTAATCACTATGTTGTACACCTAAAACTAATATACTTTATGTCAACTGTAATTACAAAATAAATTGATTTAAATAAAAATAAATTTTAAAAATTTTAAATGATGTCTGAAATTTGCTTTGAAATAATCCAGTGGGGCCTTGCATGGTTTGGCTCAGCAGAGCACTGGGCATGTACCTCGGGAGGCAACCAATTGATGTCTCTCACACATTGATGTTTCTCTCTGTTTTTCTCTGTCTCTCTCCTATCTCCCCTCCACTCTCTTAAAAAAAAAACAATGGAAAAAAATATCCTCTAGTGAGGATAAAAGAAACAAAAAGAGAAATAGTCCAGTGGGAATGGGAAGTATGGAGGAATCAAGATGTCCAGAGGTTGAGACTTATTGCAGCTGGGTGATAAGTACATGCAAGTTCATGTACTCACGTATGGTCTATCGTTGTACATTTTATTTTCCCATAATAAAGACTAAAATAAACAAAGCAAGTGCCTCTGGAAGGGTGGTGCTGTTGGGAATTTACATTTCCCCGAAACTCATCTATTAAGATGCTCTCCTCACCTTCAGCAGGAGGATGTGGGCCATCGTGAATCCAGCTGTTCTGGGTTGACAAGCAGCCTTCTTGAAATCCTTCGGTATTTGCACTGCTCTTCCACTAAGCGACAAAACAAGGAACTCAGCCAATCAATCTTTAGGGATGAAACTCAGAAGCAGCATTTTGGGCTTAGTTGAGAAGCTCATTGTTTCACTGACATCTGTGAGTTGTGGTTTCAGGACTGTGTTATTTCCATAAGCATTCCTAATTTGGGTGATGAGACTTGCTACCCAACAGTCTACGGGGTCCTTTGAGGAGCCACCGGCCTCTCCAGTGCACCAGTACCTAGATGTGCTGACAACCAGTGAGGGCAGGGGCCTCTGCCAGGTGGAGCAGGAATGGACACGAGACTACCAGGAAAGAGGGTCTGATGAAGTCACCAGGCACAGACAGGAAACAGGCAGCAACATCTTTGCACCTAATTGGAAGTTTTGCCCAAGAGGAGCTCTTCTCTAGAAGGAGGAACACTTTCTTCCACTCCCTGCACTGCCTGGCTCCGGGCCCCAACCCTTCCTCCCCCAGCTACTCCCACACGGAAAGGAGCGCCAGTTCCCAGGGGGCTGAAGTTACTCAAACTAAGCTTAAAACAACAGGGACACAGAGGCTACTCAGATTCCTCTCTCTCATCCCAGATCTCCCCTTCCCATTACTGCAGGAGCTGAGGACAATAACACCCAAACCAAATGCCAAAGGAAAACAGAGAGCCTGCGGTTAATTTGTACTGTAGCTGGGATTTACGTTCTAATAGCTTGGTGGCTACAAGAAGCCCTTCTTTGCTAAAACAGAATACAATGAAAACCACCTGACTGATTGCTATAGCTATACCAGTGGTTCAAAAAGAAACGACTTTCACAAGAACAAAGTTATAGCACTTTAATAATTTAAATAGAATTAACTTCAGGAATACACACAGACACACATAAAATTCAGACAATTTCATTGAACAGTGTTAAAAGTCTCCAAAATGGATTCGAAGTCGTGGATATGAAAAGGTAATTTTAAAGCACTACAGACCAGAGTAAAACAAGGTAATTATTTTGCATTCACCAATAAGATGACAGCCTATGGATACATTAGACCTTAATGAGAACACTTCTAGGGAAGTCATTTACAGAGGAATACAATAGATCTCAAAAGATAAATTTATAACTAACAATTTCTTTGGTCCTCCAAGCTACACCTGATTTTACTTTAAGATACCAAACATG